TAATAAATGTGCTGTCAAGTCAATGCTGGCTTATGGCAGCCCTTTCCAAGAGTTTCTGCGTAGAGAGTACTCAGAAATAGCTCACTGTTGCTTTCTTGTGGATGTCAGGCAAAAAGAAAACAAAAATGAAGATGACAAAAATGTTGCAGCACCTTAAAAAGTAACAGCTATATCAGTGGTTTATGTATCTGGTTGTGGGAGTTTGATTCCCCACTGTGTCTCCTTGACAGGGGCTGAATTCAATGATCATTTAAATGTAAGCCTTTGTGATGAACCCCATTTTTTCAGACCCTTCTTCTGGAGGTATTCTGGGACTGTGCAGCTTGCCCAAGGCTAAATAGGCTTGGTTTTTCTCCTTGGAAAGAAAGTGGGCACTCAAACTCCCAACCTCTGGCTCCCTCTCTCCTCCCAACCTCTGGCTCCCTCTCCAGCCACTCTGGGAACTGTATCCCTGCGGAAAAAAATGCAAAGAATTCTCTTAGTGATCCCTGGATACCCTTGGAGAACTGTTCCACCTTTCCAACTGTAGGGAGTGATGAATGACTATTCCAGTGTTCAAGGATGCCATTATTCCCATTTGTGGGTACAATGCTGGATGAGATTCTAGGAGCTACAGTGAAAAAAAGTACATTTTCCGAATACTGGACCTCTTTAGGTATGTAAGGCCTAAAAATAGAAGCTGTATACGCTCAACTCAACAGAGATGTTGCCATAAACTTTTATGCAGTCCACCTCAGTTCAAAACTCAAACTAACCCGTTTATAAATTTTCTAAGAAATTGATTTCTAAGAATTTATATGACCAATATCTATAGCAAGTCTGAAGAGATCCCAAGTCATTTTCAGCACAAACCTGTCTAAACACAACTATTCCGCATCAATCCCACTGAAATCATTTGAGCTTGCTCTTAGGTAAATAGCTAGATGATTGCAGCCTTCCTGGTATTTCCTTGTAGTCCAGAAATCTAGGCTGGCTTGTTCCTCACACTGGCTGATGTTCATGCTATCCCAAGTTAAGTGTCTCTTCAAGTTCCTACAGAAGATCAAGCACAAATCCAGCACACTTTTACTCCCTTGGTGCAAACTATCAGCAGAACCTTAGCACGACTTCACTTTGAGCCTTAAACTAACAGCACGTGAAAAGATTAATACGCATAAATTCTGAGCTAATCAGGTCCCTTCTTTAAATGTTGACACAGTATTATTTATATCCCATAAATACCTTCTTGACTAAAATTCATCCCAGGAGGATGGCATCACGCCAGCGCTATTCATATTTACTGTATTTATACAGTACAGTTGGCCAAGGATAATATTTAAGACAAAATATGCCTTAAGATATATACAGCATCTCTTTGCTGCCGCCCCCACCCACCCCCTTGCAACCACACACAACAGCTTTCCATTGCTAAAAATATTTGGAGTGAACTTTACAAAATGTCCCACAAAGACCTATCGGGGAATCTGTGCCGTGATATATAGCTGACTGCGAGTATAATTAGAGCATATTTGTAATACTTTGGCTGAAGTCAGTTACCGAACGCTAACATCTCTATGGTAAAAAAAGATTGGGGAGGGGTGGCCTGAATGAAGGCTCATTCCCATGCCTTTCACTCTATGACCTCAGTGTGTTTATAGAGACCTCCTTTCCCCTCCCACCTCTCAACTCCTTGGCCCGTAGCAACAGGAGAGTTAAAAAGTTTTAGGTCTGAAGGAAAATATCCAGAACCACCTAACCCTGTGTTTTCAAGTCTCTCAATCTCTCTCCCTTTCAGTCTCAATCTCTCTGTCTCTCCCTGTGTATATGCTATTCTTGGCGGGGTTTTTTTTTTAAGAATTGCTTCTCCAGCCCAATATATATACAGCAGTGGAAAAACAGTTAACCCACTTACAACAATCCTGCCAAGCAAGCATCCGCACAGCACAGCTGGCTCAAACTTGAAGGAGCCTCAGCTCTCAAACATCTGATGCTCCCTGTTGGCAGTTCCTTGCAAGCTACACTTGTCTTCCACAACTGTTTTTCTACAGGGCTGGCTTTGGATAGGGTGGTGGTGGTGGTGGTGGTGGTGATGGTGATGATGATGATGATGATGATGATGATAATAATAAGTAAATAAATAAATAAATAAATAATAGGCAGGTATTTTATTTCTGAGATAATATTTTGTTCCACTCTGTTTGATTTTAGCGAAGGCGTATATATTTATTCGAGGGGGGCAGTACTCCCTTCTTTTTGGGGTTGTGGAGAAAAGGCAGCAGAACTGGGGTCAAAACAGATGAGAATTTACTGAAAATAAAAGAAAAAAATCTATTATGTTCATCAAGAAGCTTTTTCTTCTACATTAATTAGTAAACATTCCCAGAGGGAGGCATGATTTCAATTAATGAAACGCACTGGTTCTCTCAAAAGTTAGGAAAAGTTACTTTCTTGAATTAATAATAACTTCAGAGTCCAGCTGGGAGATTCCAGGAGTTGCAGGCTCAAAAAGTAACCTCCCCAGGCTTTGGATCAACTGAGGGTCAGGGTGGGTGGGTGAACATCATGCGCGCATGTGCACGCCTGTGAGCGTTTCCTGCCTTGAGTTCTCTTCTGCATCTCCGTGTTATTGCTAAAAATTAGGCTCAAGATCTTGCACATACTCCCTCGGCCCTAGCCACTCATATGACAAACTCTTCCTTCCCTCCAGGCAACAAGGGTGGAGTGTATATTTATCATAGATATTCTGGATGGTGCTTTAATTACAATAATAAGAACCCTTTGAATGCCAGGCTGCCCTTTTCCTGAGAGTGTCACCAAACAATTACAAAACAAACACGAAGAAGAAGCGGCAAGAGAGAAGGCACTTCGCAGCAAACAAGGGCACTGGGATCTCTAGCTGGCATCTACAAGCCCCAACAAGCCCTCAAAACTACACCTTTGCTGCATTCAAAATAAATAAAAGAGGCTACAATTAGAAAATGTAGGATAAAGTTACCAAGAGAGCTCCGTTACCCATTGCAAGATGGAGTTGTGTGCTTTCCAGAGACAAATTCGAGCTAAGTGAAAAATAGACAGGTGGGGGAGGGGAGAGAAAGAATGCAAAAGAAATCCAAAGCCTAGGCATGCAGCAAAGTTTTGCTTTGATTCTTCATTACAAAAGGTTTCCGGAGACAACCTACCTTTGCCTTTTCTTTGCAGTGTCCCCTGTCCACCCCCACATGAGAAGCGAACCCATGTTAAGGGATTCAGTAAGATACTGTACACTATATAGAGAACACTAAGGAGACAGTGCAACTTCCTGCGACTGGGTCCATTTCACAGCTGAAGCGACTAAGGCTCTGTGCCTTGGAGATTACTTCTAGAAAGCCATGTATAGGTTGGAACTGTAACGCTGCAGTCCTCTGCACCCATCGGTGGGAATAAGCGCCACAGGGCTCCGCTGGATGGACGCCCCGAACTGCCACGTAGAACTACAGGATGGTTCACGTGGCCAAAGCCAACGCCAAGCCCAAACTGGGGTTTTGAATTCAAGTCTTCCACTTCCTCCACCACTACTACTCTGCCTCTGGACCACGGTGGCTCTAAACCAAGACATGCAGCCAGCTCCTCCGAGCTCTTAATTTATTTTTCAGAAATGAGTGCAACATAATTAGTTCCAGCTGAAACATTTGCAGACTGACCGTGTCCAGGAAGCCGGACTTCACCAAATATATATATATATATATATTTGGCTGTACTACCTGCACTAAGCCAGCAACTTGAGAAGAAACTGGGATTTTGGTTGGAGGTGCTACTGATCATGCTTCTTCGCCCCCCCCCATCTCCCCCTTTGCTTTTCCTAACAGAAACGAAATCCTGCATGATTCAGAGATCAGTTTTGGAAGCTACCAGCTGACCTGGGAGATAGGAGGGTGATAAGAGCGCAGGCGAGGGCTTGGGGACCACGGGGGCGTGCGTTGGGGAGAGAAGAGCTTAACAAAGTCAACTAATCCTATTAGGGGGAGGTTTTGTTGACCCAGGTGCTGGCGAAAGAGGAAAGGAGAAACTGACACTGATTGCTGGCTAGCGGGGGCCGGGCGCGGGTTTGAGCTGGACGGAGAGCATCCAGCCAGTACAGACTGGGAAGCCACTGTTCCCACCCAGAGGAAAAGTTTGGGGGAAAAAAACAAACAAGGGAGGAGGAGACCAGATAAGGAGGCTTCTTAATGTCTCTGGCATCGGAAAGGCACCGGGCCCTCCCAAACGTGGGAGTGATCACGCAGGAGCATCGCCAAACGTCCCACGTCTGGGGAGAGCGATTTCACGTACACACACACACACACAAAGTTTCCAAACGCTCATATCACGATAAGAGAGACGCCAGGGAGAACGAGTCAAAGAGGGAGGGAGATCGCCTGCCCTGGAAAGCAGCCCTCTGGGTCTCGGGTGCAGAAGGGCGCCGAGTTGTCACGCAGAGGCTACAAAAGCCAGGCCAAAAACAAAAACAAAAAAACACTCCTCAGATGCTCAGAGGCACTCTTGCCCCCATTCTTCTGGCGCTTGCGTTCCCTCTTCCCTCCACAAGGCGCTGAAAAGAGACCCCCGGGCCAAGTCGAAACGCAACAAGATCTCGAGTTTCAACCTCGACGACGGACGCCTGAAAGTCCAGGGCGGCGGACCCTCCTCGGGCAGCCGAGACCGCTTCTTCCACCGCACCCCAAGCATCGCAGGGCCAGAACTTGTGGGGCGCGGAGGACCGGGGAAGAGGGTGTGTGTGTGTGGGTTTGGAAAGCGCCGATTTCTACACAGCCTTCTACAACTTTAAGACCTGGGGATCGGGGGTGGGGCTTGAAAGAAGATCGCATTCCTGAAAGGGCACCCGGCGAGTTTTACGACCCACGGATGACCAAAGCACCCACCTGATCTGTACAGGACACACCAAGCCACACATCCGCAACCACCCCCACCCCCACCCCCAGCGATCGGTTTGTCTGCCAAACAAGCCCGCACCCGCACTCACACATGCTGAGCTTGACACTTACTTGCGGACGAGTAATTAGGCCGCAGGTCTATTTTGTAAACCTCTTTGGCGTAATATTCCTCCTCGCTCCTCTCCTTCTCGCAAGTGGCGGCTCGGTGGTTGGCTTTCTCCTGCAACAGGTCCCTCGTGCTGTTGTAGATCGAGATGACCTCCGGAGGAACCTCCTCAGGCTCCGGGTACTCTTCCGGAGGGCTGGTGAGTTTCAGTTTGCTCAGGATCTGCCCTCGGATCGCTTCGATCCTCTTACGCATAAACTGATCCATGTCGAGGGTGCTGCAGGTAGAGAGGGCGAAAGCCACGGTGGCCAGATCCAAGGTCAGGAACACGCTCAAGAGGTAGCAGTGCATTTTGGAAAGATTTATTTTAAAAAAATAAAATAAAAAGAAACACACTGCTTTTTCCACGCGTCTTCTCTAATTCCTCCTTTACTTTTTCAAAAAGTGCCCCGCGATGTTCTGCTTAAGTGTGCAAACCAGATCGAGGTTCAGGATCTTTCAAACTCTATATAGTGTTGGTTTTATATATATATATAAAAATAAACGCCGCCTGTCGCCGGTCCAAACAGAAGCGCCGATGGCCAGTCCCCCAACCGCGGAGATCCGGGTTTCGGGAGCAGATGCGACGTCCCAG